TGGGCCTCCTCCTCCTCCAGCCCCGGGCAGCGGCGGTGGTCGGACACCGTGTTGATGTGCGCCAGCAGGTCGCCGCGGCCCGCCAGCTCCAGGACCAGGTAGGCACGCTGGCTGTTGTGGTAGGTCTCGTACAGCTGCACCTGCGGGACCCCACCCGCCTGCTAGCACCCCAGGAAGGGACTGTCGGTGCCCTAGATTGGGGTGTCAGGATGGGGAAGGAGGCAGGCCTGGGTGGGCGGCAGGCGTGGTGAGGGCTGGCACAGGGGGTGGGCAGGATGGGGTCAGACATCTGGAGGTCTCTGCCCACCACATTCAGGTGCTTGTATGTGGCATTGAGTGATGAGATCTCTCGGGGCAGGAACTTTTGGGCGAACTCCACAGGGGCCTCGGCAGTAGAGACGATCTTGATGGCCACCTGTAGGGGTGGGTGGGAGCGGCTGTGGGCAGACCACAGCCCCAGGGCAGGGAGTGACAGGGCAGGGCCCAGGTCCTGTGCACAGTGCTGACCTTGGTGGGGGTGAGGGGCGGAGGTAAGCAGAGCCCTGGGAGACAGCGCCGGCCTTTTCCTCCCTCCTATCAGGGCACTTCCTCAGGTCCCCAAGGACTCCAAGCGGTCAGCCTGGGGAGCCTGGGCCTCCAGGGAGCATGTGGGATTGGTTGGGGGAAAGCCAGAGCGGCTGGGAGGTGCCTGAGAAGGGTTAGGATGGGGCCTCCTAGGGCTGGGTTGGAGAGCACCCCGAGCCCTGGGGCTGGGAGGCGGTGGCTGCCTCACCATGCTGTGGCGCTTGCCCCGCAGGTCTGCGGCCAGCCGGGGGTTGTGCTGCATGCGCTCCTGGGTGGCGTAGGCCAGGTAGACTTTGGAGAAGGCCCCGGAGCCGATCTTCTTGGGTGAGAGCAGGTAGCCCTTGTCCTTGCATTCACGCACCTGGGCCAGGAAGGTTCGTTGGTCCAGCTTTCGCCTGCTGTTGCCCTTCATGGAGGGCAGGGCACTGTGGACGGAGCTGGGGTTGTCCAGCTCTTGGGAGGGGGGAGAGGGGCGTGGCAGAGGCCTGACTTGTGTCTGAGGAACTGGGGTGACAGGGTCGCAGGAGGCCCGGCAGGACCTGCACCCCCTCGTGGCTTTGGAAAGCTTTGCTGGGACTGGGGCAGAGGCAGGGGAGTGGCCAGGGCCGAGAGCTCAGGGTGGGGACTGAGGCTGTGGGGAGGGACAGCTCTGGGAAAGAAGGGCAGGTTCTAGAATGAAGGGTTCTAGAACTGCACCTGCATTGTGCCCTCAGAGGGGTGTCCTTCTGTCCCCAGGACCTGCCTGTCCAGAGCGTCTTGCTGAAAGCAGCCCTGTCCTGCATAGGGGCCCCCTCCGTGGTGAGAACCCCTGAGGGCTAGCGTCAGGGGGAAAGGACAGCACTTGCCAACAACTATCTTAACTGCACCCCTTGCCCTTTGGGAGGGTCCCGAGCTGGCAGCTGGGGGAGGGGAGCACTGGCCTTCCTCTGCCGAGGCCTGGAAGCTTCTCCTGCCTGGGCAACGGTGCACAGAGCTCTCTGCAGACTCAAGGACACAGCCCCAAGGAAGGGGGCCCCCCTGGGCCCACCACAATCCCTGCAGCTTCCGGAGAGAGCAGCCACCATGACCCTGCCTTCTCCTGCCCTCGAGAGTCTTCTGTGAGCACTGTTACCAAAGGGAGTAGCAGGTGACATTTATTGAGTGCCTATGCCTGCCAGGTGCCCTGCCAAGCGGCCATAGTTGGCGCACCTCCCGTTTCCCACAGACCCTACCTGACGTACCTGTCCCAGGAGGCAGCCAGTGCACGTTCGGGATCTAAAATCGGGGCATAACCAGGTGATGCCCATTTTACAGGTGACAGAACTCAGGCCCAAATACGCAGTCTCTCTGCCGTGAACCGATGGCACAGACGGAGGACGGCTGCTCTGGGAGTGTCCCACAGGGCCTGGGCCCGCTGGAGGCGTGGTGTCTGTGGACCTGACTGGTCCCCCACGGGGACTCCTGGCAGGTGTGGCGGGCCCGCTGCGGGGACGGCCTGGAATGCTCTGCCCGGGAGGCCCAGGCTCATTTTTTCATCCCTTTTGGACTGTGAGCTGTTTGGGAGCAAGGCTTATGCTTGATATTCCCTTACTCACCCACAGCCTATGTCTGGCAAATTGCCTAGGATATAGCAAATGTGGATAAACTAGCTGGTTTGTTGCTGACCTAGAGGTTAGGAAAAGAGCAGCAGCTACTCCAGGTATTCCAAGCAGAGGGTTAATATGGGTTGTTTTTTTTGTTTGTTTGTTTTTCAGGGAGGAAGGGAGACGGAGAGAGAGAAACATCAGTGATGAGAGAATCATTGATTGGTTACCTCCTACATGCCCCGTACTGGGGATGGAGCCCACACCCGGCATGTGCCCTGACCACAAATCGAACCCTGATCTCCTGGTTCATGGGTTAATGCTCAGGTGAACCATCCCGGCCGGGCCAGAGGGGATTTAAGATGGGGTTGCTACTCAGGTGTTGGCAGGTCTGGAGAAGGGCCCTGTCTAGAACTAGAGCCGCACAAGGGAGAAATGTGGGGCTCCGGCCCAGGGTGGCTGCGCTGCTGCCCACACCCCTCTCACCTTTGCTCCCACCAGGACCCAGGACACACTGGAGACCAGCAAGTCTGTCCCCAGCCTCATCCTTCTGCAAAGTCCGTCTTACCCTCCTC